TACAAGTAATGGAAGAATCTAGAAATGAATATATATAATATTTTCTAGTTAAAAAAAAAATTTTACTTGTTCGGTATTATATCGTCCAAAATCAAGCCATTCATCTATTTCATGTTGACTTGACAAAATCGCCTATAAATCATTTTTTTTTTTTTACATAACTATTAAAATATTTTTCTTACTGGCATTCGAATATGTACATTTCGCATTGTTTCACTTGCATTTACTGTACATATTGTACATGAATATAATGGTCCAGTCTATTAAAATGATCATACAATAACTATTTTAAATAATAAAAACTAATATATACTTCACAATGTTGATTAATTTCAAAAAGACCAGCCATAGCTAATAATGGTAATTTATTTTCATTATCTTTTTCAAATTGTTCAGAAATTTTCTCAACATTTATATTTGGATAATGTTTTTCATTGAGAAATGGTTCAGTTTGATAGATAAAGAAAGGTGTTTTTGATACATTCTTCTTCCATTCGAAGAATCTAAAAAAAAAAAAACAACCAATAAATTTATTTTAATAATAATAAAATTTCAAACATACCCTTCAGCAAGCACAACACATCGTTGACCATTTCTCAATGGTCTTTTAAATGTTGGTTTTTGATCAATAGTTTCCGATCGACAATTATTTAAAACAGGTTTAAATTCATTTAAATTGCCTTTGTAATAACTTGGAACAAGTGACCAACGCATTGTACAAAGAACTCGTGTTGATGAATCTTCTGTTTCATCTAAATGTTTGGCCGAAATTAAACAAAGACTAAAAATTAAAGAAATTATCTCAAACAAAACTTTCGATTTCTTTTAAACAAAAAAAAAAAAAAAGACGATCGATTATACCAAGTAGAAGTTGGAGCTAAATTCCAACTTGGTCGAAAAGATTTTGTTGATGGCATTAAATCAATAAATGGTGGTATAGTTGATTCATGTGTTTGAGAATGCATATAAGTTGAAAGACGACGTACAACATCAGGTGCTAAACCACAAGCAAAACGTCCACACATATTTATTATCTTTCTAAAATGTCAAAATATTTATTTCATACGAGACAAATAAAACAAAAATATTACTCAGAAAAATATTTCAATTAAGACTAACATATTCGATTTTCTTTTATTACACACAAAAAAAAACTAGAGGATTAAGTCAATAGACAGAATATTAAAAAAAAAAACATAATATTGTCTAAATAGACAAGCCAAAGACGGAAACAATAGCATAAATATATTTATTTTCCCAACTACCAAAAAAAAAACGAAATAATTATCATTTTTATAAAAATCAATTATATTAAATTACCGAAGTGTACAACTACCATCAGTTATATCATTCCAATAGCAAGAACTGGCTGCATGTACATCTGTTCCATTCTTTGGCATTATTACCTATTAAAAAATAAATGTATAATTCAAATAAATAAAAATCAAACTACTTACTGCTTGTACAATATATTTAAAACGTTTACCTAAGATAGTTAATTCAGTTAGTATTTGATCAACAATATCAACTGTCCATCGAGTAATTTTATCATATTCATATGACTTACCACCAATCAACCGTTCCACAACTTCTTTAATTATATGAGATACTTCATCGACGAGAAACATTGTATCCTCTCCACTTGTCATTTTTATTGATCTGAACAAAATATATTAAAAAAAAAAAAATACAACACAAAATTATTCTTATCCTTTTTTGAATAGGTTTCTTTTTCGCGTAGTTTTTATTACTGTTATATTGACATAGGAAAATAAAAGGATAGAAATAATAGAAAAAAAAACAAGTATGCCTTCAAGGGAAAAACTCAAACGTACAAATAAAAGACTAGACCAAGTATAGTTTTGCGTATATTTACAAAAATATGACGAAAAAAAAAACTATAAATTTTAATCATTCTTCTAGTTGTAACCCAACCGATCCTTTTATATATTAGTTTTTTTTTCTATGCACAACTTTGGAAAGGATATTTGTTCGATCATGATTTCGTTTAGATTATCATTTTCTTACCTTGTCATCAGTGTAGGAATATGAGATAATAAGATACAGTTGTCAGTTGATAATAGATCTGTGTCCATGGTATTGCGTATTCTTAACTTTCTGCTTTTCTCTTTTGTCGGTCGATTTTTCAATGTCGATGTTTTCCCTTTTTATTTTTATTAGACATATAGACGAGATGAGAATCTGAAAGAAAAAAAATAACTTTTTTTTACGAAGAAAAAAAACTTAGCAATGTCGACAATGATGATGTGTGCACTCGTCTTTCCTTTAACATACTTTCCACAGGTAGAAAAAAGCAAGATTGAATTATAAGCCGACAAGATGCTTAAATAATTGAGAATTTCCTGGAAAATGGAAAAAAAACAAGAATCAAATAAACATTTATGTGCATAAGTAAAAAGAAATTACACGCACATCCTCTCAAAGATCAAAAATAAAACCATTATTGTCTTGTGAATCTATTTAGCAATAAGTAGTATCTCTTATATCTTTTATCGTTCAGTTTATTCTATGATTTTTTTCTGCTTTAAAAATTGCAAGAATTTGTTAAAACAACTGCAAAATTAATTCATATACTTTATTGCAGTGTATTTTATGTCTATCAGCAATAGGTTGTCGACAGAAACATTTCTATCCACTAGGTAATAGAAATATATTATAGTACAAGGTTCAGATATCAGTTGAATTTCAAAAAAAAAAAATTTTTACAAAAAATAATTATTTTCTATAATGAAAATATAAATGCTGTTTATTTTAGTCAAAATGATATTTATAATGTCCAAGGAAAACTAGATAGAATAAACTTGAATTAACATCAAATAAGAGAATACTTTATATACCATTCAACGGAAGTATGCCAAAGGAAATGAGAGCTAAAAACTTCCAAACATACAAAGAGCAAAAGAAAGAATGTATATACCCTTTATAATAAATATCCAATATCTCATTGACACGTGTATGCAAGAGAATCAATAAAAAATAAAATGCTTTAAGTTAATCGTTATAATAGTACTACGAATAATATTACTTGATTGGTGAAAATTACATATTAACGCTACAATCGATGTTTCAAAACGAAATTATTTTATTTTCTTTAGACGATTTATATCATGGTATTCTAAAACATCAGTGGATTAATATTGATACTTGACTAGATTTTCTTTGATTTATTACTTCTGTGAAATTTAATGAGATCTTCATATTCTAGAATGCATACTCTAGTCACTGTTTATATTGATGAAATACTTTTTAAAAAATTGTTGTAAAAGGACATTCCTTCTTTTTAATTTCATCTCTCACATTTAAAAATATGAGTGTGGCACAACACAGTATTGTGGAGATGTTAACGAGTATGATTAAAGTGAAAAGTATTCACGAGTTACTGTTGTCTTGGTCTAATTAATAGAACTGTTTTGAAGTCAATTAATGAAGAATTTGTTCTGATCTGACGATCAAAATCTTACTGAATCGTTTACTATTGAATTGCTTATGTGATAATTTGAATCTTCAAACATTACTATATGTCGAAGAACATTGAAATCATTTTTCATATGCATATTGACATTACTCTATGTTAAGGGTACTCTCTCCGGTCTTGGGCATGAAAATCGAAAATTTTAATATAAAATGAGATTTTTTGGTCCATAGGTCTAGAAAGAAAAAAGAGATGAAAACTCATGACAAACCGCTTTGAAAGTGCTTCACATCTTTATGAAATAAGCACAAAAATTTCGCCACCATTGTCTTTGAAGAAGGGGTTGTATATATGAAAATCATGTGAGCAATCGATAATTTTTATTAAAAACACGTGAAATATATTGATTTATTTATAGCTAAAATTAAATCAGAACAACCTTGAATATTCTTGTCCATTTACTGTTGATTTCAATACAATTTTTCAATTTCTATTTGTTTCTAAACTAAATAAATAATAGTAAATAATTTATATTAGTCTTATTTAAATTCATTGAGTTAGTCTTCTGAGAAATTGAATAAAATGTGGGCGTGAGTAGATTTTATACTAAACACATATAATATTTTAATATACCATTAGAATAGAATGATCTTCGATGAACCTTTGTTGAATATTTAACAACGAGTCTTCAATTTGTTTCATACAGAAATATTTGGAAGATACACGATTTTATTACAGAATATGAAGTGAATTTTTTTTGTTAGAAATTATAAAAAGTTTGCTGTCTTCTGGTGAAAATCGAATCTCGATATTTGCACTCAGCTTGTCGTGCGAAAAATGCGAAGAATGGGACATGACCTTTGCTAGCGATTTGTATCTCGCATCGTTTTAATCCCACGCTAATGTTAGTTTGTTTATTGCGTTGATCAAATACTTCTGGAAGGAACAATAATTCAATGGTCATTTTTAATCAATTATTAAAGCAATACTTGAAAGGTACTGATCATGAGAAATTAGCTGGAGAATTGATCCGTTGATTTATTTTCATCAGATACTAAATGTTTCAAATTTCACACTATCTCCATTTTTCGATAGGTAAAATCATTTTGAAACGAAATCTAATCCTATATAGATTCGGTACTCTTGTGGACTAGTGAGACTTTACCATTGTAAAATTCTCAAAACTTATCGTTTCACGTTGGATGAATATCGAATTTTTGATAAAATTGATATTAATGAATTGATATCTCGTTTGGTTCTGAACTTTGCGAAATAGATGAGGGTTTTTTTTGCACTTGAGACATACCATGGATTATTTAATATAAATATACAAGAAGAACAGATTAAGAATATACTAAACGATACTTTCATGACACATCACATATTCAAGCAAATATCAATCTTATCGAACTAAATCCGAAAACAACGGTGTACTTTCACAATCATAATGTTTTTGATGAAATAGGAAAAATCTTAGACAAATATATAACCAAGTACTCTGCTATTTTATTAGGCAAGAACGATTCTTGGGGTGCATCACCATTCGTTTCTGACCAAGTGACTCTACATGATGTTTTTACTATTTATATTATTGGTTGGCATCGAACAATGCTTGAGTATTTCGAGTCCTGTTCATCCATTTGCCACCTATAAACATTCAGTTGAACTTCAAGTTAATGTAGCCGATCTTTGGTGGACGGTGAATGATGCTGAAACAGAGGTTGTGTTGGAATTACATATCAACACAACTGGCTGGATTGCCCTAGGCATCAGTCCAGGTTACTTATTATTTAACGTTTTTGTCCACATATGAAATAAAACATTCATTGCTTTTAGCTGGTGGCATGACGGGTGCTGATATCGCTGTCGGATGGGTTGATCAGACGGGCAATGTCTATATGCAGGTTCACATCATACAGAATAAGACTTTCAGTAAACATATATTTATGTTAATGGTTAGGATCGACATGCATTGACTACTGCAAAGCCTATCTTAGATAATACAACGACCGATTGGTTTGTTCTCAACGGTCGTGAACAAGATGGATGGACAGCTATTCAATTCAAACGTTTACTTGATACATGTGATCCAATGGATGTTCGAATCAAAGTACGAGATGTTGATTCATTTGTTTACTCAGGTGTCATACTCGAAAAATTTAGTGACACAGACGAAATATCGATGAAAGCATTAAAATCAGAGATGCAGGATATGATCAATATCTAGGTGTAGTAATTTGTTCAAAAAGTAAGGAAATGTGTTGGACAGTTTTAGTTTTGGTGTCATAATATATATTATTTTGTCTTTCCTACTAGTATTTATGCATGTTGTAGTAGTGACATCTGACAGATAGTGTGTAGATCACAATGATAGCAACACTTTTATTTTGCATATATCTCAGTGTAGAAAAAGGATACAGACTTAAATTTTTTTAAAAGATGCGTCATTGAAGTCTCTACAAACGTCAAAGAAAGAACTTCTTATGATGTTTTTAGATGACTAACAGTGACGACTTGTGGTATTTTACGTTGGCTTTTGGAAAAGTGTATCATGATGTCATGAAATCTTTTGATTAGAATAAAAAAAAACTGCTTTCCAAAAACATTGCAACCATTTTTGTTAATGTTAGTATCGCTATCTGTCAGATGCCACCACTACAACATATATAAATACTAGTAGGAAAGATAGAATAATATATATTATGACACTAAAACTAAAACTGTCCAACACGTTTCCTTACTTTTGAACAAATTACTACACCTAGATATTGATTATATCCTGCCGCTTTGATTTATATCACCTAGTACATGGGATAGAATATGAGATCTAACTGAATATGTACAACGAAAAAATTGAAAATATTATGTGTCCTGTTACTTTTGGCCCACCCTGTATATATTCAATGGATTATCGTGCAAATATTAAATTTTCAATTTTTTTCTCAATCCTTAGTCTACTACATATTAAAATGATTATTTAATCGATTTCTAGTCTGGAACCAACAATCTCATATTTGCCTATGGTCTTACCGATCCTGATCTCGACCAGCCGAATGGTGACATTTCTTACCATGAAAATCGTCGAGGTTCACGCATTCTACCACTTCGATCCTATGCCAATCCACCGGTCGAAGCCAAGTTTGCTGAACTCGAATATTTCGATTTTCGCATAAATAATGTCAGTTCTATTTGACTGAATCATAATTTCTATTCCATTTTTCTTTTTCATTTTAGTATCTTGTTCCATCGAATGATACTACATATTATTGTAAAATGTTCAAAGCTCCAACAAATTATGCAGTTAAACGACATGTAATCGCTGTATGTGTTCATATTCTTTGATTTCTTCCCAATCGAATTCATTTTTGCAGCACAAAATCCTCATTGAACCAAGTAATCGTGATCTTGTACATCATCTTCTCTTGCATGAATGTAGCCCGATGGCTAAATTCGATGATAAAAACCTGCCCGATGGTTTATGTAATGATTTAGCAGAGACGCTTGCAATGTGTATGGCAAATGTTGCCACTGTTTGGGCTGTTGGCGGCGACGAAGTAAGACAACATGTTACAAGAGTAATAACTACGTGTGAATAGATAGTCGAATTTCCAGAAGTGGCTGGATATCCTGTGGGTGCTGAATCAAATATCAAATATTACGTCATTCAAATGCACTATGATAATCCTCATCGAATTGCGAGTAGGATGTTATATTTTGAATTAAATGAAAATTTTTGGATCAAACTCATTTATCTTCGTTTAGATCGTCGTGACAGTACAAGTCTTCGATTTTATCTTGGCAAAGAACTTCGCCAATATGATATTGGCTATTTTACTTTTGGCCTAATTGCTGATCCAACTGGAATAGCCATTCCACCAAGAGTCAATGAATTTGTGATTGATTCTTATTGTCCAGCCATAGCTACTAAGGTATGTTCTGCATATTTTTGGTTGATAATCCGACAATATAGGCTTTGTTCTAGAATTTTCCTGAATCTGGCATTACAGTGATATCTGCGTTTCCACATACTCATTTGCAAGGCAAGTTCAATTTGCATGTACAAAAATAAAATTATTCTTGATTATTTGATCGAACAGGTCGAAGTGTATGGACAAAATTGATTCGAAACAGAACAGCTGTGGAATATTTATTCAATGCAGAAGCATACGATTTCAACTATCAATACGAAAATCTTCTACCTAAGCCGATTAAACTATATCCAGTAAGAGAATTCTCTCATATTGTCTACATTTGATCAAGTTATTATTTATTGTAGGGGGATGAATTTGCCACTCGATGCGTGTATAATACTATGAACAAGAATGAAATCACCTTGGTAAATATTATTGAATGCATTTTCTATGCAGAACAGTATTATGGTTTTAGGGTGGAGAGAGCACAAGAGACGAAATGTGTATTCAAATTCTTACATATTATCCTCGCATGGAAGACAATTACATGTGTCTGACTATAAATACGCATTCCGAATGGACAGCTCTTATGAATGACACTAAGTATGTTTTATTGAATTAAATCATAGAATCTTATTTATTTGCATTTTAATAGATCAACTGTTGATTATGTCGAGTTGAAAAACTGGCTCCGCAGTCTCAAATGGACTCCAGAATCAACAAATCGATGGCAAGAATTCTATAATAAAGCCTCGCGTTTGGTTATTCATGGCGTTAATGCACACGAGGCTGACACTTTGTCAAGTTTACCTACATATGAAGACTTGAAATCAGTGCGATGTAGCCATCAATAAATTGGAAAATATCAAAAGATATTTTAGCTATAATACTTAAGTGTAACATACAAAAAAGATGTACATCATTACAGTATTAAGAAAGGGTCCACGAGACCACCACCCAAAATGACAGGGATCGAGTGTCAAAAAAATTTTCATAGTGCAATGGATTAGTGAGGGCAAATGATTGGGCCTAGAGACAAATTTTCAAATCTTTGAGATAAAGTTTTCGATTTATATCAGGAACTACATTGCTTTTGGCCAAAGAAAGGATGGATGATCATGAAAAATGTAAGGAAAAAAGAAATCAAGTTGTATTATCTGCATTTAATGTATTGCTAAAAATTATTCGCTTAACATATTTTGTAATACTATATAGTCGAGGTTAAAGAACAAATGAGTTTTATATTTTAAAACTACATTGGCAAGTTTTTTATCTAATTATTAGAATATATCATTGACGCAAATACATCATCCTGTTCAATAACTAACTAATCTAAAAAAACATAATTTCATCAATCATTGTTAATGATGGATCAAATGAAAATTATCTTCGTATTCATATGTCTTGTACACAGTGTTTGGAAAAATATGATATCTAAAAGACATGCTAACATATATAAAGTAGATTTATTACATTAACTCAATAAAATTCTTTCAAGAGTGTTCAGGCACAAAAAGCATATACTGATTTTCATCCAACATATTTAGCTATGAAAGCGATTCCTTTTTTGTAATAAGCTTTATATAATTAAAAAACGCGATACGTTTGCATATCATTTAACAGAAATTAGGGTGGATGTGAGTGTTGCTTTTCTTTACAGTAACATACATACCCATACTCTCTTCTGTAACTAGCAACAGTAGTTGCACCTTGCTTCACAGTTAAATTCCACAGAGATTGCACTAGCAGTTTTTAATTATTGAAACTATGACAAATACTAATAAATCAATGGTAACGAAACAAATCAAAGATGTGTGGGGTTATTTCGAGTACAGATTCATAGTGTCTATAGATATAATATAAATAAGTAATGACTAAAAAAAACGGTTTTGTCAATATGATCAAGTGAAATCGGTTAATAAAACTCAATAAACAATTAGCCCATAAAGAAATCTTGAATCAGTTATTGATTTTGATGACTTTAATTAGTTTTTTTTAAATCATCACATTCTGGTCTCCGATTGCGATTTTTTAAAAATAGAGGAATCCTCAGAGGATCAAGTTTATCTAAAATATAGGATTTTCGATAAAAAATGACAAAAATATAGGATTTTTTATAGATCATTTCTGTCCAATTGTTTTGGTGTTTTTTAACTTCCCTGCTCGAAAATCGTTTTAATGAAGCTGTTATAAACAGCTCAACCATAACCAAGATTCTTATGTAATTTCTTTCTACTGAAATAAGTCGCTAATTCGAGGATCACTATAAAGTTTAATTATAAAACTTTCTCACAAATCAATAAATAACAATAAAGTAGATCATAAACTTTGAAAAAATAAATACATGAAAAAAACAAATACTATTTCTCATAATTAAACCTGACTTATAAAAATAAAACTTGATTATAAATAGACAAAAACACTTGAATAATAATCATTAAGTATTATCTATCAAGTCTATTATATTATGTTGATTCGGTTGGATGGATTTCAGCTTCTTGTTGATTGATTGTTCATGAAGAAAAGCATCTTTTCTTTTTAATCGAAGTTTATCGAGCTCATTTGTAAGTTGTTGCTGTTGTTCATTAACTGGTGTTAATTTTTCACGACCTCCAGAGCTTTCGTTTGGTTTTATATAGGAGGGGGAGAAAGCCAGGGAGAAAATAGTCACAACTCAAAGAAAGCTTTCTATTTGGAAGAAAGTGCCTGATTCTCCTTGAAAACCTAAGTAGAAAGCATTCTCTTTCTAAAAAACGGCTGCTTTTTTTTGAAATCTTGAAACAAAGTTTCTTTTTAGAAGAAAACAACTGTTTCAATTTGAAAATTAAGGAGAATGCTTTCACTTTAGCATGTTTTTGGTATATTTTCTCTATTGAAAATACTGAAAACGCCTTAAACAGCAGCTAACGGAAATTTCCAGGGAGAAACGTAGAACGCAAGGAAAAAATTACCTGGGAGAAATCCCCTATCTTCCACCCCCTAATCGTATGGCCTGAACATACGTGCCATAACATTTACATTTATCAAACACATTTCTGAATAGACAGGAGAAATCTTTAAACAAGCAGTGTTGTTTTAAGTAGGGGCGAGAAGTTACTGTTATTTTTTGTTATTAATAACAATAAAAATAACAAAAAAAGTTATTGTTATCAATAACAAATAACAAAAAAATAACAAATAACTTCTTTTTCCGAAAAAATCTCAGTTATGCTTTGTTACTATGTAACAGTATACCAGTTCTATTTGCTCATTATTGTCCAATTGCTCGATGATGTTACTGACCGCAATCTCCATTAGATAGCCTATGAAACTGAGAAAAATCCTAAAAAGATCTTTTCAAGTATCTTGCTCACCTACAGGTAAAATTTACTAATCGGTTTACGAGGAACGATTCCTCAATGTTCGATTGCCTTTGACTTGATGTTTTGGTCAAATAAAAGTCTTTGCGAAATTAGATTCTAGGTGCCATTTTTCGAGTTATGATCTGTACAATCTTTCTAGACATTTTCTCATCTCCCAAAGGCTTATATTTGACCAACGCATCAAGTCAAAGACAATTGAGCATTGAGGAATCGTTCCTCGTAAAGCGATCAGTAAATTTTGCATATAGATGAGCAAGATACTCGAAAAGATCTTTTTAGGATTTTTCTCAGTTTCATAGGCTATCTAATGGAGATTGCGGTCAGTAACATCATTGAGCAATCGGACAATAATGAGCAAACAGAACTGGTATACTGTTACATAGTAACAAAGCATAACCAAGATTTTTCGGAAAAAAAGTTATTTGTTATTTTTTTGTTATTAATAACGATAACAATAAATTCACACCCCTAGTTTTAAGTACGGATTGATTTCTTTTGTCTTTGAAACCGACTCATTTTCTCTTTTAATTTGAACTATTTTCTCTTTGAAACTGAACTATTTTCCCTTTGAAATTAAACTATTTTCTCTCAACGATTTATTAGATTAAGTCTCTTGATGACACATCAACTAGTTCTCCTTATGACAGAGATGGAACCGGTACCGGTAACCGGCCGGTCCGGTACCGGTATGGACTTTGGATCGACCGGTTTAAACCGGTCTGACCGATCGAAACCGTTTTAAACCGGCCTATATTTCTCACTTTCCCGTTCTATGATGGTAATCATATGAAAAAACAACTGGCACCAAGACTAGTTCCACTAATCACATAGGAATTTATTTAAGGCCCCCCCTCAAAAATCTATCTCAGCCCAGGAACATCCAAAATTGCATGAAACTTTCACGATATGTTGGGGCTGGAAAGGGGAGACTACCATCAAATTTTCGGCCCGAAATCTTCAGGTTTTAGGAAGATATGAACCAAACAAGGGTCAAAAATGACTCATTTGGCATCCCAAATTTTTCGATCCTGGTTCATTCAATATATTAATATTTTTTTTTTGTTGGAAAGAGCATCTCAAGATGCAGGGCATGATGGGACTGTTTTTTTGAAATAGTCCCTTTTTAAGCGCAAAAAAGAGATCACAAGTTCAATTACTGAAAAAAGTGTCAAAAAATGGTAACCAAATCATATAACTGGCTGTATATTGACCAAACAAAGGCTTAATTAAAAAAATGGCCCCATCATGCCCTGCGCCTTGAGATGCTCTTTCAAACAAAAAAAAAAAATATTAATACATTGAATGAACCGAGAAGGAGAAATTTAGGATGCGCTTTTGAGAAAGCGGACACTGAGAAAAAACGAAAAACATTTTTTGATTTTTCAAAAAACAGCTGGTTTTTCGAATAGGGGTTGACGGAAATCTTGAAAATTTTTTGGGAAAAATGAAGTAACGAGAAAAACAAATTATCGTTTATCAAAGAGCAGATGACGGGCTATTTCCCCATGTATTTATCTCAATTTCGGAATTTTTGACGAAAAGTGACTTTTTTTGAGGGAGGCCTTAAAAGAAAATTTTCAAAATACCCATCAGTGAGACTATTGTTATCAACGGGAAAACATTATGTCAGTATGCGTGAAAGCACGAAGGTAGCCCTCAAGAGAGTTCACTATGAAACAAGGCTTCATTTCAAGCCTTAGCCTGTTGTCTATAGAACGATATTTTGTCGGTAGGTCGGTTTTTCTTTTATAAACTGACGTATCATCAGCATCCTGTTTTAGTACCGGTAGACTAGT